TCTCTCTAATTTAATATTTGCTGTGTTGTTATAGGAAGCTTTGAGGGCACTGTGGGATGCTGCCTTTCCTGGGGAGGAACTTTCTGGTTTGATATCTGAGCAGTGGAAGGAAATGGGTTGGCAGGGAAAAGATCCGTCTACAGACTTCAGGTACATATTATTTTCTTGAATTCTTTTCAGGTGTCTCTCATTTTCAGTAGATAAATTTTTGTTTCCTGTAATTTCTTGGTACCTTTACTTATAGGTTACTCTGTCAGGGGCGGCGGTCTTATATCATTGGAAAATTTGTTATTCTTTGCTAGGAACTTTCAGGTATGAACCAGTTCTCCATCCCTCCCTCCCTCTCTCGCACTCACGCACACGATCTTGTGCGCAAACACACAGATCATATCCCCCACTTTTATGGTCATGATAGGAGTATACAATCTGGTTTATGTTTGGTGCCTGCTTATGAACTTCGTTGTCTCAATTACTACGAAAAATGGAACTTCATTAAAATAAGTCTTGTTCATTCCCTGACATATGGTTCCTTTTACAGAAATCTTTTCAAGATCTTCTACGAAAGCAGGAAGGTGATCGGGCCATGTGGGAATACCCATTTGCCGTTGCTGGTGTCAACATCACATTCATGCTTATTCAGATGCTCGATCTAGAAGCAGGTGCCTTCTTTATCTCTTTCTGGCATGAATGATTAACAAAGAATGATCAAGTGAAGTTGTAAAGAAGTTTATAAACATTTGTGTTTTGCCTAACCTCTGCAGTAAAGCCCCGGACAGTGGTAGGAGCAACCTTCTTGAAGTTTCTTGCAGGTAATGCATGGAAACTAAGGGCCTGTTCTCTTTACCATTTTCAAGCCGTTTTCTATTTTCAATTTTCCAAAACACTAAAAACGCGTTCTCTTTTCCATTTTCGAAAACATGTTTTTGAAAACAAGTTAAAAATTTACAAAGAAAATCCAAAACGACAAATTTGTCGCAAAACAATTTTTCAAAATGCCAAAAAGAACACATTTTCACAATCTCAAAATAGACACTCAAAATGAATTCAAAACTTAAAACACAAAGAGAATAGCCCCTAATGTTTCAATTCTGGCCTTTTCAAATGAAAGTTTCTAAGCATTCATATTTCATGGAAGAAATGCATGTGCTATTAATCTGATATTCTTCTGGTCACCTGGTCTAGTTAAAAGATGATTCAACCACTTCTAAGTTTCTGCTGGTTCTTGAAAGCCATCAATCCTTGGATGAAAGATATAAGCCTAGACAACAAAAAACTAAATCTTGTTCCTACAAATTTGAAATGGGTTCCATGAATCTTTTTCACGATTGCATGTTTTGAAGATTGAATGCAACTATGTTCTTAGCAATCACAAAAGGCCATACTAGTTTTAATTCGTGCGTCCCTCTCTAATCTATTCTATTGAGATCGAATCACTTTTATGATTGAGAACTTCTTTAGGTTCATGCAAGATACACCACAACCACCTAAGTTGTCAACCGCTTAATTCACGTACTCTTGTGGTGCATATTCTCAATTCTTATCTAGCCTGTTACGGAATGGCCACACTTCCATTTTTACATTCTCGCTGCTACATTCTTCATTTCAAACGTGTTGATCTTTTAACATAACAATGATCAATATCATAAACTATAGCATGTCTAAGCCAGTACAAGTCCCCATGTAATGATTTAAAACGTGAAACCACACTCGTTTTCTTTGTGTTCGTTGCGTGATCATTTTTATGCTTACCGGTTAACCCTTCTTGCATTTTGCCTGGCAGAAAATGAATCTGCATTTGACCTTCTATACTGTATCACATTCAAATTAATGGACCACCAATGGCTTGCCATGCATGCTTCTTACATGGACTTCAATGTAAGTGCTCTCCAATTGTTAGATTTTCTCGAATATAGAATTTGGAAGTCGTTATACTTTCTCTGTCAAGTCTGTTCCATATCTCTTCTTCAGAAATTTCTGATTGCCAAATTAGAGGTTTTAGTCACCAGAAGTACTGCCTTGAAGCATGTTTCCGTACTTCATTAGACATTGCTATCAAACTTAATGGGTCACTTCATGGAAAAGCAAAACTCAGCTCACTGAGTCCTTTTGCACTTGTATTGCTAATATCAACTGGGAATTTTTCATGTTAAACTATTCACTTATTAAGGGGTAATAACCTCAATAGTCACTGAACTTTGCAAAAAGTTTTCAAGGGGTCATTGAACTTTAAAAATCATCCAAGTCATCCCTGAACATTGCAAAAGGTTTTCACGGGGTCACTGAACTTTAAAAATCACTACATTCATTACTAAACTTTACAAAAGATTTCTACGGGGTCACTCAGTGACCATCAGGGAAACTTTTTGCAAAGTTCAGTGACGAATGAAGTGATTTTTAAAAATCAGTGCCCCATGGAAAACTTTTTGCGAATTTCAGTGATCATTGAACTTATTAACCCACTTATTGCTGATAAGAGTTCGTGTTGTATTTAGATTCTAATACCCCTAGCAATGGATCCTTTTGAAACGTTAATCTTCTCTTGGGTAATTATTTATAGATACACTCTAATAACCTTTATTAGATTGTTTAATTCTCTTTTTATGTTAGTAGAATGTGATGAAAGCTACTCAGCGTCAGCTGGAAAGGGAGCTTCTGCAACACATTACATGCCTTGAAGACTTGCCCTCGTACAGCCTTCTTAGTCGGTAGTGTAGGTAGCTTGTGTTTTTGAGTTACTTTTCCAGGAGATGACTTTATAATGATGGAGCAAATGCCCAGAATTTGCGTTGCTTTGAAACTTGGAATTGTGGTTTGGTAGCACTTACAATTCTTATTCTTTTCCACCTGAATAGGCTTCTACTGATGATCGAGATTCGGCTCGGGCCCTTATTCTTAATCTTTTAATGTGGGAAAGATTGGAAACACGAGCTTACTTGTTAGAGCAATTCTAAGACTAGATTGTTGTGTGCAACTTCCCTAAAGCCTTTGGAACGGGACAGTTTAGGAGTAATTTACACATGCAATGAAACTATGCATTGGCAGAATGGTGCTTCTAATTGTACGTGATGATGAGCCACCAAACAACCGTTTGCTTACAACTACGCAACAGTTCAATTTTTTTTCAAGCTTTGTTGCTATCAAATTATGAAAATCCGTGTCAAGATGATGAAAATGAATATGATTTGCATATAAGATGGCATTTTGAATATTAAATAAATTATCTCTTAATATAATTTTGCTTATAAAATCTTTAAAAATAAAATTAATTTATATGTGATAATTCATTTTCTTAGTTCAACTTAAACAAAGTGCAATTTGAAAAAATGTGTGCTCACAATCTACATGGTAGCAAAGAATGTATATGGTCGAGATACAATTATTGAGTCTTAAAAGATATCCATCACAACTCTAATAGTATGTTATGTACTTTAAATAACATATAATAAATGAAATTTTTTAAAAATACTTCTCTTCATTAACCATATTCAATCCTATGATCGGCGGACAAAACTTACCTAAGAATCCATTACCATAACACATATAACATGACTTGTACGTTCATCCCTTAGAGTATTCAATTGTCAAAAGTACGAGACATTTGAAAAGCTAACATTCTAGGATTATGCCATTTGTACACACATTTTATACACCCTTGTTGACATTTGCTTTGTGTCAACAAATAATTGAATGAAAAAAAAAGCTGTTTTTTTTAAACTGTCCAATTGAATAAAACCACGCGGCAAAGTGTAAACATTGGCGTACTGTACACCAAGCAAAGATTGAACCTTCTATTAGGCAGAGTTTAGAGGCTTCAAGAATCAGCGGCAACAATTAAGGGAGAGAAAATCTGTAGCAACATTTGCAAAAACGAGAGTTAATATTTTACTCGACTGCTCACAGCTTACCAGCATCCACAAGGTTCAAGGACGAGACTGGCCCAGCTTGGCTGTCCCACCATTAAAATTTGAATTTTGACACCTTTAAATTGTAGGGAGGGGTCAAAATTTTAGTGAAATGCAAACATTTCTTTTTTGACATCAATTTTTTTTTTTTTTGGATGATAACTATGTCCACTCCTCAAAAAGTTGATAACAGGTCTAAACTCAGTTCAGACTTAACACAGTAACATGGTAAGTGGATGCCATCAGGACTTGACCCAAAAGATAATCGAAACCCATTATGGTATGTTTGGCAATGATGAATTAGAAAGCATTGGACATAAATCATATACTAAAGAAAGACAATTTAATTAGCACTGTGATAGAAAACATTCTCAAGGACCAATCCATATCATTTCACCAAAGGCACAGGAGTATCACTCCTGTTAATTCTTAAAACATGTCTCAAAGCACAACTTATGACGGAGATGGTAAATTTCTGCTACAATAATTATAAAAAATGAGCCATACATAGAGTTGCTAGCTCAACTCAAGAAAGAAATTTACTCGTAGATCCAGGGGTGAAGGCTGCTCCTCCATTCAGCAATTCCTTCAGGAAACCATAGAGCAATCTCTTTCCTTGCACTCTCCACCGCATCACTGCTGTGAATGACATTCCTGCAACCGCAAAAACAAGTGTCTTATTTCTCTATTGTAAATCTCTTTTCCATTTAATGATGCTATAGCAACGAGGAACAGGAGCAGAGAATTTCAGATATGTTCTATTTCAGTGAACACATTGATATTTGTTTCACATCTTTTAACATCCAAAAAGTTTTAGTGTGAGTTTAGAACATTGAAAAATACAGCAATTTGCCTATGCTTTCCTGAAGATATTGAAACAGTAAATTACGTCCGCATCTATAACCAAATTCAGAAAAGCCATAATGTTTTAAGCATTGGGAGTTTTCCAAGTTAACTCAGTTTCACTCGACACGGACATTAAAGATCTTTTGTGGCATGTTTGGCAAGCTGGAATATACAACCCTGGATATGATTAAGAAAGAAAGGTGAGGTAAAATCTTGTCATTCGTTACGAGTGTTGTACAATACTTTGTACCAAAGAATTATGCTAAGTGTACATTCCATGGGTTAAATCTTGCCTTACGTGGCACAATGTCAAAAATATGTAAAACAAGATGTACATGTAGCATGATTGTTGTACCAAACATGTCATTCAAGAAAGGAACATAGTTGTCTGATGAAATCGAAGTTCTCTGTTGTCTTTGAAGAACCAACTTAAAGAAAAAGCATTAATTTCAATAAGAACAGACCTAGGCTATGTTTTCGACGTGAGCAAATAATTTGCATACGACAATAAATCATTACGAGAAAGCTAGCTCACCTGCCAATGTCAATGGCGTAATCACCACGGATGGTCCCGGGAGCAGATTCTGCAGGGTTGGCAGCACCAATGATCTTCCTACGAGTAGTGACTACATTCTTACCCTCCCAAACCATTGCAACAACAGGGCCAGATATAATGTACTCAACAAGCCCGTTAAAGAAGGGCTTAGCAGACAAATCTGCATAGTGCTTCTCGGCAAAAGGGCGATCCACAGTAATGAGCTTCAGACCTGTATCCAAAAAAATCAGAAATGCAAACAAGAGTTTCTATTTAATCAAAGGAAATTAAAAGCATGATCACGTGAATGTCAAAAGCTAAATATCACAGAACACAAGAAGCCTGGGATGGTTCATTATATCATCAACCCAAAAAAAAAAAAAATTAAAGTTAAAAATTAAAAATAAAGTAAGAATGTAAAAGACTTCCATCATGCATGGAGTATGGATATGGACATGCAAACGTCAACTAAAATTCTTTAAAATTATCCATTTAGAACTTAAAAATTATTTTTATCCTCAATAAAAAGATTTGTTATGATTTAATTGAATTTTACATATGAATACTTATTATTTAACATTTGAGGAGAGGCTATTTGGTGTATTAAGATAATTTTTGTAGCGTCATTGGTCCGTGATGGAGATTTCAACAGGTCTATAGGTTGAGGAGCAATGGTGAGATTTTTGTGCAATGACATGAAGTTTATGGTCACAAAAATTTTCTTAGGACATTTTGACAGACCAATGTACACAGATGTTATCATAATTAAAACTTCTTAGTTTTTTATTCCAAAATTTAAACAATCGGGCTTGTTCCTTATTCTTGACATGTCGGGGCCAATTTTTCTTGTGTGTTACAGATAAAAAAATAAGTCACCTGAAAGAAAAAGAAAATCGGGACTCGATCATTGTGAAATATTTCCTATCATCGAGTACCGCAGAGTTTGGATGACTAATAAGTACTCAGAGAAAACATGTAATTTCTTTTCACCATCGAGCGTGAAACTAAAAGAAAATAAAGGAAATAGACAATTAAAGCAAAACACCGTTAGAGATACAACTAATTGAGCAATAAAAATCCGCACACAATGGTAGTATCTATTGTTATTATTGCTCCCTAATCAAAGGAAAACTAAAATTACCTTTCAAAGTGAAACCTTTCTTTTCAAATCTGCCAATAATTTCACCAACCTGAAACACGGCAATAATATATATAAGAACATGACTGGCTAAGCCTAAAAATGTACATATACATTTCAGTAAATTTTTAGCCCCAAACCTTTTACCATGATTTACTTTTATCTTATTTTGAGGAAAAAAGAATTACTTCTCTAACTTTCACCAAAAACAGATTATTCTCTTAAAATTTAATTTTTCTTCCTTATCTTTACTTAAAAGAAAACTGTTTAAGCTTATCAGCTAATTGTTTCTCTTAAAATTCATTCACGCACAGAACAAACTTGCTACACTCGGTGTTTCTTAACCACTAGTCCAAGAAAATCAAAACCAGAAGTAATTTGCAATTCTTTTGCAGTTATACAACAATAATAATTCCATTATCTTGTTTACATTTCCTTCATAATAAATCGGCACTAAAAAGTTCCAAAGCTGAAAACAAATACACCTTGCAACGAAACAAATCAATCAGAAATGAATAAAGTCCAAAATACAAGACAAAAGGTAAAAAATTGAAATTGAAAAGAAAAATAATGTGCAAATCCAGAAAACCGATAAAGATAGAGAGAAATTTACCAGCCCTCTTTGGACGCCATCAGGCTTGATCATGATAAAAGTTTGCTCCATGGTGATATTCTATTGAAGCCGCCAAGTATGTAAAGTTGTAGTTTGAAGGATGATTTATATTGAATTTTTTAGGAGCAAAAACCCTAAAGTAGCCCAGAATATTCTATTTTGTGAACCGTACCTTTCACTGATTTTCTTATCGTATAATTGTTTCAACAGTCATCGAACTTTAC